GGGGTGTGTGTGTGTCAGTCAGCACATCAGGAGGTGAGTGAGGAGCAGTGGGTGGGTCTTGTTGCAGGAAGGCACCCTCCAGGGAAAGCTGACAACAGATCCCTGCTACAGGTGTGATGATGGTGACCTGAGGGCACCACCAGGGTCAGGAGGAACTGGCCAGGTGAGGTGAGAGGAGCGCTGGAAGTAAAGTGAGCGAGGACTGGTGATGGGAGGGAGGCCTTGTGGGGGACTGCACCGCTGGTGGGAGTATGAGTTCTGTAGGCCCCTAGTTCTGCTTACAGATGCTGAGGTCAAGGCCTGAGCCCTGGGAAGACATGATTTGTCTACCCTAGAGGGTCTTGGGTAAAGAATCTACTGACCCCTAACAAATAGGATATCCTTCATAATTACAGGGTCTAGTCTGATAGCCTGGAAGTGAAGATAAAGGCCTGGAATACCTGGCGGCCCAGAGGAGGAACCACCAGGCTTAGGAGGAGATGAAGAGTTAGGGTGGCTCAGATGAAAGGGCCTGTCGCAGAGTGGGCTTCTGTTGGTTTTCTGAAGGCTTGGAGTTCTCTTGGAGGAAGCACATGGCCCTGGTGTTAATCTGGCGTTAACTGCAGAGACAAGGCTCCCTCCTCACTGCTGTTCTTCCCACGCTCTGTGAAAACCCTCCATACCTGGCTTGGGCATCTTCCTGTTGTTTGCATAAACACACTTCTCTTCCTTGCTCTTCACAGTCTCTCGAGTCCTTGCCACACCTGCATACGAGGCTGTTTGTGGACTGCAGCTTCTGTTTCTGCTGTTTTGTTTCTTGCCATTCTTCCTGCCTGTGCTTCCCAACAAGACAGCCTGGGATTATAGCAAGCTGGTAAATCCATGAATTGGTACAAAGGACAAGAAGTGCTGCAGCTGTCTGGAATCAGTGTCCTGATATTTTTGGGAAGTGTTACAGGCAGTCTTCGTTTACTAAGCATTGAAAATGTCCTGTAGTTAAAAGACTGCTCAGTTTTGCAGGGTACAAGGGTTAATCTGACAGGGACTCTGCTATCAAGGATTTTGCAGTTCCATTTGCTGAGGAAAATAAGGTGTTCACAAGCAATTATGATACGTATAAGACTTTTTGTTGAGTGTTGGAAAGTAAAACTATGACTCACAGTAACCCTGTGAACAACAGATCAAAACCTTGCCTTACCCAGCTCCAGCCTGATCCGCCATACTCAAGCCTATTGGTCCATTGTATCAATCCATCTCCTTAAGGGTCTTCCTCTTTTCCACTGACCTGCTTTTCCCAGCATGTTTTTATTTTCTAAGGAAAGACATCATGGTGCCTCCTGACAACATGCCCAAAGTGTGAGACAGAGTTTCACCATCCTCCTCTTAAGGAGCACACTGATTGCACTTCCTCCAAACTGGAAAACTTTGGGCAGTCCATGGTATATTCAATACTCTTCTGCAGCACCACAATTCAAAGGCATCAATTCTTTGGTTTTCCTTAACTTTCATATGCGTATGAAGCAATTGAAAATACCATAGCTTACACTGGGTGCATTTTTGTCTGTAAACTGATACCTTTGGCACTTTGAAGAAGTCCATGACAGCAAGTTTACCCAATGTTCCAGAGCTCTTGGCCTGGTGAGTGAGGAGTTGTGCCACCAGTGAACCCTGCAGAAAAATAGGTGAGGGGAAGAACTGTCTGAAAGGAATACATGATTAGGCATTTTGTGTATGGCGACAATCTGGAACAAGAGGACCATTGCAAAGTCTCCTTGGGGAGGGAGGAAAATGTAACTGAATGAATGAATGGAAAAAAAAAACCAAAACACCCAAACAAAAGTCAGGTGGTTCAAATCTATGAGCAGCTCCACAAGAGAAAGTTGGGCATTCTCCTGTGTGATTTACTGCCTCTAAAAACCTGTAGGGAGGCCAGTTATCAGTCCATTCTGACTTAGGAGTTGATGGTACATTACAACAACAGTTACTTGGGTGTTGATTGTACATACAAGTAGAATGAAATCATTGACGACTTCAACCTTTTTCCCCATGATGATGCCTCTGTCTAGTTGTGAGGATTTTTCTTTGCTTGATGTTGACATAATCTATATTCTATATTGAAAACTGTTGTTTTGATCTTCAGTAATTTCTCCAATCTCCTTCACTTCCTGAAAGCAAGATTGTGCTTCCTGCATAACACAGGTTGCTGATAAATCTTGCTCCAATCTTGGTGGTGCTTTATATAGTCTAACTTTTTATTTGTTCAGCAAACATTGGATAGGTATGGAGAAAGGATACAACCCTGACACACTTCCTGATTTCAAACTATGCAGTGGTCCCCTTTTGTTCAGTCAACTGCTTTTTTGGTCTACTTACAGATTTTGCAGGAGCATAATTAAGTGTTCTAGGATTTACATCCTTCTTAATGTTACCCATAACTTATGATCCACACCATCAAATGCCATCTTACAGTCAGTAAAGTATAAATAAACGTCTTTCTGGTGGTATACTCTGCTTTCAACCAAGACCCATCTGACATCAGTAATGCTATCCCTCGTTCTACATTCATCTTGAATTTCTGGCATTTCTCTATCAAGGTACTATTCAGCCATGTTTGAATAATCTTCAAGATTTTACTTGAGTGTAATATTAATATTTGATACTTTCCACTCTGTTGGATCACCTTTTTTTTGGAATAGGAACAAATATGGATCTCTTCCAGTCAGTTGGCAAGGTAACTGTCTTCTGAATTTCTTGGCGTAGACTATTGCACACATCCAGGGCTGCATCTGTTTGTTAGTTCACTTCAGTTGGTATTCCATCAATTCTTGGGGCCTCCCCCCCCCTTTCAAATGTTTTTGGTGCAACTTTCATTCCTTCAGTAAAACTGGCTCTGATGGCCTAGTGGTAAAGAATTGGACTTCTGACCCAAAGGCACATTGTTTGAGTCTACTAGCTGCTTTGCAGGAGAAAGATGGGCAGTTTCTTCTTGCATAGTGACTGCCTCTGGAAATACACTGGAGGGTCAGCTATGAGTCAGTTCCAACTCATCAGCACATAGCAACAACATTTGGCTCTTAGTCATATGCTACTTGTTGAAATTATTCTGATTTGACTGCTTTTTGGTCTGGTGATTTTGTATATTCCTTCCATCCTTTGATCCTTTCTATTGCATTCACTATTTGCCCATAGAATCCTTCAGTATTGTAACCCAAGGCTTGAATTTGTACTCCACTTCTTTCAGCTTTAGAAATGCTGAATGTATTCTTCCTTTTTGGTTTTCCAAACCAGGTCTTTGCACACTTCGTTGTAATGCCTTGCTTTGTCTTCTTGAGCTGCCCTTTGAAATCTCTGTTCTTTTACTTTAGCATTTCTTCCCATTCTTTTGGCTTCTCTACATTCTAGTGCAAGTTACAGAGTTTCTTCTGACATTCATTTTGGTCTTTCCTGTATTTTTAATGGGTTT